TCTGAACCCCATTCCAAGGAACAAATTCTTTAGACTACCAGCATTCTGGAACATGGTGGCTGAGCCCTTTTCTCAAAGTAAAGTCCTTCATGTGTGCAATTTTGAGGCTCCAAAGGATAGCATCCTGCTGCTTCTTGTAATGTCCTCAGGCCATCTTTCTATTCTGTTTCTCCTTAACAATCATGATCTCCTCTGCTTTACCTTTGAAGTCCACAGCTTTATTGGAGCTTCCTTTCTGACCAAACTCTGTGTTTTAAATCATTCTGCTGAGCTCTTTGCTTTTGATTCTCAACATAAATCTGGCTAAAACCCCCCAACAGTAGCCATACCACTGTCTCAACATTCAACTGCCTTAAAATTTCTTCTGCCAGATTAATTAGTCTGCCACCCTTTACCTTAGTCTCAAGCAAAGTATCTGGACACAGTCAAAATGCAGACAAACATTCTACCAAGCCACAACACAGGATCTGTAGTCCAATAGCCAATGCAGTCCTTCTTCCTAGCAGAAACCTCCTGGGTATGGTCTCTACTGGATTTCTGCTCTTCTGAGCTCTGACCAGAATCTCCCATACAGAACAGCCTGAGGTATTCCAGCTCTACTCTTTCAGGCAACATCTCTGAACATTTCCAAACTCTTCCCATAAGCCATTCCCAAAGACTCCTTGAACCACATAGTCACGTATAGTCATAGCAATGACCCCACTTCTTTAGTATCAAATTTTGTCTTACTACTTTTCTCTTATTGTTGAGAAAAATACTCAATGCCCAATTTTAAAGGGAGAAAGATTTATTTACCTCACAGTTGTAGAGGTTTCAGCCCATAATTGGCTGGATCCAATGCAGGGTGACACATGGCAGAAGTGTAACAATTCATAGCAGTGGAAGACAGAAAAACCAACAAAAGCAAAAGGAAGAAATAAGCCTCTTTCTGTCCCTTATGCTGTATCTAGTCTACTAGAATCAAGGTGCTGCCAACCCAATCAGTGGACTAATCCAGCAATTACCCACCTTTAATCCCAAGTTAATCATATACTATAGATTCAGCCACCTCCAAAAAAGTCCCATCTAAAACTGCATGAAGCCTTTAGGGGACATATAGACACAAACCATAACAAATATTGAACATAAAACCTTATCAAACTCAAGTATAGCTTGAAAAGAAAGTTGCAGATGAACTGTGAGCACTATGGGGAATGATCTAGACCATCCTAAAGACTTCTCAATATGTATTTCTGAATAACTGGTAGTTATAGTCTTAAAAGGAAGAAATTACTGGCATCCTGTGAGACAGAAATGGCCCAGCTTAGACTCAAAAGGAAGATCTTTCCCTTTTTGCAGATTTCTCTGCAGCTCCAGAAATCAGGGAGTTGGGCCAATAGCCCAGAAGTATTCATGGGACCTAAAAGTAACAGTACACTTGGAGGCAAGAATACATCCATCAATTACCTTTAAAAAAAACCACTCTAGAAACCATATCTCACAGTTCCCAAGTTTCAAAATATAAAAGCCTATGCTGTTTTTGCAGCAGCCAAAGCAGGGATCACACCGTTTTTCCAGTGATCACTGTATATACACAGAGATCTTTATTGAACCTCAGTAACTAGTCATTGGTTAAACAGATGTGGACACTTGTTATAGAAGAAAAGACAATACAAGGTTTAAAGAAAATAGTCTCAGCTTCCCACTCTTCACTTAAAATAATCACCAAGCTCCAGATGGAAGCAGTGTGTTTATTATAAATATGCAACAGTAAATGCAAGGAGTACCACATTTTCACTTATTGGAAATAGAAAATCAATCCGAATGCCAGGTTTCAATTTCTGTCATTGCCAGTGCTTCCATCCATGGCTGAACAAATGTTACTAGTGACATTCTACATTAAAAAATTTAGAGGGAGCCTTCTGCTCATTTGTCGCCACTATCCTCTGGAGGTACAGTCCTCTCTGCCTCTTATCTTTATTGAATATGTTGATATTCTGTTCATTGTAGATTTTTGAATTTTTTTACTTTTAAAAATAATATATTAAGGTATTATTTGATTACTCAGTGAGGTTTCCTCAAGACTTATGCTCACATCAAGTGTCTCCCTTTCCTTCTCTTCCTTTGAGGCATGTGAGACAGTAATCACAGTCACCATCTGCCATGGAAGCCTCACACCATGAACCTCTATCTCCTCTCTAGGCTGCAAGAAACATCTGTGCATCTCTATCTACCTCACCAACCTCCTCTACTGTCTGCTTACCCTCCTCACATCATAATTTTCTCCAGAAATTTAGTCTCTCCGAGAGCAGGACTAGGAAACTGGACAGGGTAAAGGAAACGGCTTCAAGTACTTGACTTTCAGGCCCATCTATAACATTTCCCAAGACAGAGTCAAAGACCACCTTTGCAAAGATTTTTGAAAGAAGAAACTATGAGGAAAGTGGTAAAGAGACACAAACACAAAATAAACATGAGTAGTCACCACAAATAGCAACAAGAAAGAAAATTTACAAAACGTTCTAAAAAGAAAGGTGTAATTTCAAGAGAAAATTGATTTTGGGAGAATAATCTCTTCTACTAGCAGTGAAAGTAACATTTTTTAAATAAAGGAAATGCAATAGCAATAGGGATGAAGCAAGATTCTGAAAGAAAGCCAGGTTATTAAAATGTTATCAGATTATTTCCAGGCTTTGGAGTCTCCCAAAATTAATAATTACAGATTCCTCAAAGAAATATTATATATATATATATATATATATATATATATATATCACAGAAATGCAATCAAAAGGAATACTATTTGGAAAAAATTGATGTTGAGTAAGTAGCCAAATAAATGTTTGTGATAGATTAATAAGGAGACAAAACGAAGGTTGAGAAAATGTCAGAAAGTTAAAGTGAGAAGAAAAAGCAAAGTGAAAATAATGTCTCAGATATTCAAACTGGAGATTAGTATAGAAAAAAAACAAACACTGCCCAAGGATGCAAGAGACTGCTATGAATTGTAAGTCTGACAGGTTTTGCTTCAGTAAGAGCAGAATATAGCAGTCAGCCTGAATGCAAGCTCTGAAGAGGAACATACTCTCTTTTTGAAGAGATTCCATTACTGGATACAGGAGACACAATAGGCCTAAATCTCCCGTTGGAGTTTAAAGGGATGTGCTAAGGAGCTGAGTGAGAGAAAGACAAGGCCATGTGGGAAACACAGATATGTTTGGGTCTATAGTTAAGCAGTTCCTAAGATAATACAGCGGGTGGGGGAATAAAAAGAGATAGAAAATGAAAATGAATAGAGAGATGCTACAGGAAAAAAAATACGAAAACCAGTTCATGATTTTGATCAGAATTACTTTGGAAATTTGGTAAAAGAGCAGAATTTACTCACTGAGAACTTACATGAAGTATCCTACATCCCAATAAGAGCAGATCCAGAATATAGACAAATGTCCTCTGCCCATTCCTTGTGCTTTAACCAGTACAGCTCCTTGAGCCCTCAATAGAAGTGGACATATAACCCCAAGGTCCAAAGTTTGCTGCTGTTTAGCTCCTCTGTCTTAATAAAAGCATGTTCTCACCTGACTTTAAAATTGGCCTCTATAGCTTTCTTTGCCACACAGACAATTTTAATAATACAACAGTGCCTTGCAAGCAAGGTAAAACAGCTTATGTTAGGGATAATGTAACACTAAATATGAATACTGTAAGAGAGTCCAACAGTTTCTTTTCCTAGATTAGATTAGTAGTAATGACCTGTGATAGTATGATAAAATACCATAATTTGTTTTCAATTCAACTTTTGTATAGGGTTTATGTTAGTAATGGCAAACCTTTTAGAGCTTTTGATGATAACAAACAGCCTACTGGGACACACGTGCCATAGGTTCACCACCACTGGTCTATGTTAACAGAAAAATTCAAAATATAAAATCAAAAGTTCTCAATTGTTCTTCCTAGTCTATATTTCTTTCATGTCTATCAACTAAAAGTAAAGAGATGGATTTATGTAAAACATTGATTTTTTAAAATGTGTCTTTGTCTAACAACTTCCTAATGAAATGTGGTTTTGTATGATTCTCTTTCTTGTGGGGCTTTTCTTACTCTTATCCCCATAGGCTGCACAATAATTTAGAAATATTTTGGTTAATCTCCTGGGAGAGGATGATGGTATGCATATAATTTTATCAGACAATTGCCCAGGCTAACAGACTGAACTTCTTAGTTACTCTAACATGAACATCTTCAAAAATCCGTCAGAAAGTTAATGATGGAAGAGAAATACTGCAAAAACATTCTCTGTGTTATGGCCATTCCAATTTTGTCTTAGGATAACTCCCTAGAGTTCAAAACACTCAATATAAATGCTTCAGGCAATTTATTTAATTGAAAGAAAATGAACATAACCCTCTAACCATGATTTTGCTCAATGAATAATTCCTTTAAGAGAATGAGGCAACAGTTAAATCCTGCCATATTGCCTGCTTTCCAAAGATGGCAACAGATAAATTATAATAAACTTCACAGGTTATTATCAAGAGATGAAAAAGAGTGTGAGTTATAGGCACTGAGCATCTAAATCTGTCAGCAAATACTCAGCCCTCTGCTTGCTGTGCTCTACAGAAATAATATAATGCATTTTTGCTCAATCTCTGTGGAAACACTGTTGGATCTAGAAACAGAGATCCCAGCTTCTCACCTCAACAGGCTTTGCCTTGCTGACTCAGTTTCTTCCTGAATAAAATGAAAGGCTTGAACCAATGTGGGACCTGGGAGTTATGTAAGGAATAAGCCTTGGGAAGCCACATATCTCCTATACCCAGAGAAAGAGAAGAGCTTCTGGGTCACCAAAATCAGTTGTTCCTCTGCCTTGTGGAGGATGCCTCCTGCTTTGCCAGCTCTGCAGCTTTTGTTTGTTTGTTTGTTTTTGTTGTTGCTTTTTTTTTAGCAAAACCAGAAACCTACATTAGATTATCATTCCCCTTCCTCTTTACTCTCTTAGCAATAAATTAAATTTGTTTCAGAAAAAAAAGATTGAGTAGAATGTCTGCTTCTGAATAAGACAGAATCACAGAAATCAGACCAACCAACCCTTCCACTATAAACGAAGAAGAAAGAAACATGTGAGGCTACTGTTTGCAGAACACTGAACATCAGTTGAGGAGGACAGCGACCTGTGAGAAATGGAAAATGAGGTAAGCCCTGAAACTGCCTCGGTTTGACAGAGTGTACAAAAATTAAGTACACAAAGAACCGTGCTTTCCAACAAATGGTGCTAAGGTCAATTCACAATTCACATAAGGAAAATTAACTTGTAGCAGCACCTCAGACCATGCATAAATATTAACATAAAATGGATACAGAACTCAATGTATTATCTATGTTATAAAGCATCTAAAGTAAACAATGGAGATCATCTTTGTCATATTTTTGGCTGCTGGGTGAATCTCACAACAAATATGCTGAGAAAATGAAACCAGACCAAAAAAATAGTGCCTACTATCTAATCTTGTTCATAGAAGATTATAAAAATACAGACTAGCATATAATGAAGGAAAGCAAATCAATGATTGCCTGGAGGGGCCCGGGACAAGAAGAGGAAATTACTAAGGGTAAACAAGGGTAAACAAGAAAATTATTTAGACTTATAATGATGTTCTCACTGGCATTTTACCAAATGATGGCTTTCACAGGTACACACCTCAATCCAAACATATCAAGTTTTATAGTGCATATATAGTTTATAGTGTCAACTTTACCTCAATAAATCTGTAACACTCACACAGAACAACAAAACTGCACGCAAAATTTGGCATGTTGTCCACTAGTTTTCAATTTCTGTATTCAATGGCAACTGGAGTCACTTTCTTTGAAATTTCTCCACATCTACAGCTAACATATGATTTCCCTAGATAGCAGATGAAACTATAGAAAAGCATTCTAGAAAACATTTGCAAATGAAAACCAGATATATTGAATGTGTGTATTAGCATAGATAATTACTGCATATTTATAATGCCTATGTCACCATTCATGAACTAGATTATTCATTTTCAACACAGCCTAGTTTTCTTGCCATTTGGCAAAGCCATAAATTCCTCAGGGCTCAGGGAAAAGGAGAAAAGGTGCAAATCTATTTCATACTACATTCCAGGACAATTAAATCACGATGCCACAAGAAGTATTGTAGAAGATATTGTAAGAATATCTCCATTTAGCACCAATTCTGAAACATAGGGTTGCTGCATAACTTACATACACAAACATTACCCATGCAGAGTCAATGAGTTTCAGGCCATTCCAATTTTGTCTTAGTTCAAACTGTTTCCAGTGTTGCAAAAAATGCTGACACATATCTGTATCTACATATAAACACCTACAAAATACTGAGTCACATTATGGGTCAACAACAAGTATACTCACAAACCTGTTTGTGTATATAATGATAGATATATATATAGTCACTACATGAAATATATATATATATATATATATATACATATATTCCATATATAGATATCCCACACAGACCACTAATTTGCATAGTTTTCTATTTTTCTTATATAATTTCATGGAAGTGTTGGTGTATCACTGCTCATAACCATTTTTCCAGGCTTAAATGAAACTGCTCAAAGAACTTACAAACACAAATGAATAGCTGTCTGGTGACCAAGTTGCCACTACCCTCCCCACCAGTATCAGTTTTCATTTGCTATCAGATAAGCCTTAAAGTGATGGAGTTGATATAACCCAGTTCTGCAGGTAAAAAGAATACAGACATACTTCATGGCAGACTGCTGCATAAAAAGGGCTCTGAGGAATGTCATTTGTCCTTTGTCAAAACAGTACAAGAAAGAGATCTATTGTTGATGGCTCATTCCCATTTTGGTCAGCTTAATGTAGGTAGAATCCCATAAAACTCCATTCTGGAATGTTGCCCATTTGTGCAAAGGGGCACCACATGAAAGCTGTGTGCTTTCTCTTCTGTAAATTGTGGTTTCTAAAAAACAATATTGGTAGCATTAAGAACAATTAGACATAGCATAATTTTCCTAGTTTAAATTACAGGGAGACTGACTGTCTTCCATACCTTGTTCATGGATGTTCAGACAAGTTTCTAAAAGGAAAGGTAAATAAAACTTTTCCACTATTGTTCACAATGCTCTCCTGTGACCTGTAACACAGATGAGCAAGTGCTCTGATTTTGTTTCTGAAATCTTCATTTGATATCCCATCATGGAAAATTTTTGAACAACACCTTTAGTACAGATCATTTTCATGGTTAAGACACATTTACCGATCCAAGACAAGTTTGAAAACCTTTCTAATTGAACATTCATCTACAAATGTATTATTAGGTAGATTTTATTCCTCAGTTCTCAAGGAGGAAATGCACATATACATATATAGATAATTTACATGAAATTATACTATTTATATATTACATTTACATGAATATTTATGTATTATATTTACATGAAAATGCCTATTAAATGTAGATTAGTAAAATTATTCATCAAAGAAAAGCTCTAAGTAGAGGATTCCCTAACAAAATAAAGAACTCTAACTTCAGTAAACATTTCTGTTTATTAAGATGGTGGTGGAAATTTAATGAACATTTTAGTAAACCAAATACAACTTGCTTCCTGAAATAGTAAAATAGCTAATATTCATGCACCAGTTATTATGCACCAGGTGCTGCTAGAAACACTCTTTGTATATTACCTCAATCAGTTCTCAAGACAATGCTACAAGGCAGATTCAGTGATTGGCCCTATTTTCTAGATGAGGAACCTAAGGTGGACAGTAGTTGAGAAACTTTCCCATCACACAGCTAATAAATGGCAGAGACCTGACTTGTCTGGTCCAAGAATGTAAGTCCTCAACCATCACACATGCAACCCTCGAAGCTATAAAGCATGAACTTACCAGCCGGGTCTCCTACCATCCATTCACTGACATCTAAAAGTAATCTGTTAGTATGAGCACTGTCCATCCTCCTCCAGTCTGCCCACTGCCCTGCCATCTTGTCCTACCTCCCAGCTGTACCCATTGACGTAGGGTAAATTATCTTTAAAAATTAAAGCAGTTAATTATTATTGCCCAGTTAACTGAAGAGTTAGCTGGGCTCTAAGAGCAAATTCCAGTGGATAAGGGATACTTGAGAAAGAACGGGAACAAGAGGTAGAAGATCCAGACATGAGAGAAGAGAACTGGAAAGAGAAAAAAAAAGAGTAATTTTAACCAGACAGGGGATTTCCGTGGACTGATTCTACAGGTGTAGCACATCTCCAGTCACTGATCTAAGGGTGGCAGCTCAGTTCTTCTCAGTACTGATCTATCAAGGACTCACTGAAAAAAGCAGACAAGGGACACAGCAGATGCAGGATACTTCTCCCTTCAAACTTGAACAAGCTTAGCACGGTGCCACCTCTCCTAAAACCTTGAATCAGGAAGAGGGTTCTTTAGCAGAGCAGTGTGAATCCTACAGCTGGAAGTCTGGGAGAAGAAAAATACTGCTTCTCAGTACATTTTGTCAGCTGGGAGATAACTTACAAATTTGTCTCTGTCAGTACTGTTCTCTAACTGTGTTGCCTAAGAGACAAAGTTACTCCCAGAAGAACAGGTTCCAAAAACTTGTTAAACTGTTTACCAAATCTTTCTGCTGCTCTTCCTGCATTCAAAAGACCCAAGAATGAATATGATCTTCATTTTCATATCCTGTCCTATCCTATTCTAGCACCCAACATTGATTAAAAAGTCATACTCAATGATTAGCTTGCAAAGCACAAAGTCATCTTAACTGTCCACATGTGTCATATAAGCAGTGAAGAAACTGACGACAGACAGGTATCTGGGTAAAATATGCATGATATAGTACTGTCTTTTATATTCTCACTTGTGAGTATCCACTCACGTAAAATTAAATAAATATACAGTGCTATTTTGGTTGTTGAATGGCTGGCTCCAAATGCAAATTTTCCATTACTCACACAACAAAGTTAGAAAAAAATTTTCTCAGTGTTACTAACTTTGCTCAGCAGTCAAACTGAAAATCCAACTTGATAAAATCCTGTATGAGGCCAAGAGTGAGTCACAGGTCTCATCTGGCCAAGGACACAAAGGGGTAACACTTCATTCTAAGAGCTGCTCTCACCAACAACATGTAGCACGGTGCTGTGTTAGTGTGTTCAATCATTTGTCACTGTGCTTTTATATTTGCCCTTTTTTGCATAAAATATCATAAGCATGGATCTAAAGAAAGTTAGGGGTACCAGCACTAACGGTAAGAGGAAAATCATGAGACCACACTAGCATTAAAGAAAAATATCATTTGTTAAAGTCCTGGAAAAATGAATTTATAAATATAATTTTGGGGCCTCAGAAGCAATTATTCACTTTTCTATTATTTGTTATGGGAAAAGTATGTGCAGTCCTCCAACTTTTTGGTGTTTGAACAAGAATGCAGAATGAATTGAGTTCGACATCTGAGGTATCTCTACACTTTTAATATCAAATGTGTGGGTTGTACTTAATTCCATCAATTGGCAATGATGAGTTATATAATAATGTAATCTCTTTTCTATACTGAGCACTGAATGCAAGGCCTCTGCACTGAGCTACAATCTCAGATCTTGTGTATTTATCTATTCATTGATTCATTTTTATTAAGACAAATTCTCATTAATCTATCATGTTTTCCAGGTTGGGGTCAAACTTGTAATCCTCTGCCTCAGCCTCCCAGAACGCTGGAATTAGGCATGTGCCATCACGTCTGACTTACATGTATCTTATGGGTTTCATCATGACTTTATACTTACAGAGGCAGTTACAACATTTGTTATGTGACAATGTTTATCTGATTTTTATGATTAGGTTAAGAGATGTCAGCAGTTGAATTTTGAAACAAAAATTATTCAATAGTCTCCCTTCCTAGTTCTAGGTTACCTTAATTAAAAAGAATCTTTAGATTGCAAAGTGAGCCACCAAAAACTTTTGTTCTGAAACTACTCATTTTTATGAATTTCCCAGTGGTTTTAAATATAAAAACACATAAAAAAAAGGCAAGATTTTGAAAATCTAATTTGTTTCAAATTTGTGTTCTCATTAAACTACCTTCACTGATTTCATTTAAAAAGCAGAAGATAAAATTTAATTTTATGAGGAAATGTTTAATGCTAAACGCTCTCAATAC